GCTCAGGAAGATGTTTAATAATTAACTTTTGTAAGTGTTTTATTTTTGCTTCTCAACCTCCTCATCTAAAAATATTTCAAGCCATTAGACCACAGACCTAATAATTTTAGTTAGAATGCATATAGCAATAAAACATAAAACAAACATCCCAATGGACAAGATCCAGACTTTAAGTTATACTGTTACCATGTAGTGACTGTTAGTACGAATGATCCAAATCAATAAATAATATTCTTCATTTTAGATAAACACTGATAAACTTTTTCTATTTTTGGTTATGGAGGAAAAACTCTGACTTCTATTAAAAGATTTAAGACCATTGGCTAATGTAGTGGTTGGTTAGTGCAGAGAATTAAGCCATTAATAACCATGTTCTCTCAATTCTTATTAACTTTAAGGATCAGAGGATCTTTGGAAACTATTTAATACTAATAATTAGCCATTTATTCATCTTACCTAGAATAAATTTAAGTTTATTAATGAGTAGTTAGCTAGTAAATATTTAATATTTACAGATGATCATGCTGACAATGATTCAAATTAATCTATCAAAGCTGATCAGAAAAATGAGGTATAAACAATAGAATTTGTGAATTAGAACCAGGGAAGGACACAAATACACAAATTCTGAATTATATTAAGAAACCAAGCTTGTTTGGAACTACATTAATTAAAAACTATATGTTTTTCTCTCTACTGTTATCAGTACAGACTAAAGACAAAACAGCTACAATAATCAATTTCAGTTTAGGATTTCAATAAAGTCAAATCCTTGGCTTGCAAAACTTTTTTTTGGCAGAGAACAAGACTAAAAAAGCCAACATCTTTTATCTTCTTGTTTTATTTCCCTGACACAGCAAACAGTTTAAGTACAATAAATATGATTGTAGTGGATATCATTACAAATTTGTGATTGCATTGTGAAATTTATAGTCTAGGTTGGAAATGGATAATAAGATAAAGGAATCAATGACATAAAAATAATAAATAGTGTTAAACACCAAGGTGAAAAAAACAGAGCAAGAAGAGAGTTTAGGAAGAATGTGCATGTATGCATGTATTTAAGCAGAATAAACGATGTTTAAAATGTTAGATTGACCAAAGATCCTTTACCCAAATCATGTACGAGAAGAATGAGAAATCCCTGCCATTTTTGTTAGCTAGATATTTCTGCTAAATTGCTTGCTATTCTGGATACAAGCAAATCTTATTTAGAAAAATAAAAGTAATGAATTTTATTTTATTTATTTATTTTTTGGGTCCGGTCGTGGGGCCTGAACTCTGGGCCTGGGCGCTGTCCCTCAGTTCTTCAGCTCAAGGCTAGTGCTCTACCACTTGAGCCACAGTGCCACTTCCGGCTTTTTTCTTTTTGCTTATGTGGTGCATGCAAGGCAAGCACTCTACCATTGAGCCACCTTCCCAGCCCAAAGTAACGAATTTTAAAAATTAACTCTATTTAATGGGACAAAATATTGCATAATATGATTTCTTCAGAAAATCAGTTTTTTTTTGGGGGGGGTCCAGTCGTGGGGCCTGAACTCTGGGCTTGGGCACTGTCCCTCAGCTCTTCAGCTCAAGGCTAGTGCTCTACCACTTGAGCCACAGTGCCACTTCTGGCTTTTTTTCTTTTTGCTTATGTGGTGCTGGGGAATTGAACCCAGTGCCTCAGGCATGCAAGGCAAGTGCTCTATACCACTGAGCCACTTTCCCAGCCCCAGAAAATCAGTTTTCTTAATTATATTCTTTAGGAAAGGTAAATTGGAAAATAAAACAAATGATTTACTATATATAACTGTTGAATTTTATTTTATTGAACAGAGTAAAGTTATTTTAGGCTCCAAGTTTATTATGGCAGACAGTTAATGTTATTCAAAATGATGATAACTTTAATACTATGGAGTCCATTAACTTTCAGTGAGAAAAACTAGTCAGACTATGACAGTCCTACATCATCTAGATAATGCCCTTTATACTGTTCTAGCTGGTTTTCTGTGGCTCTTGGGGCTTTATAGATGAATAAACACACTAATACATTTCCCTAGTCCTAAATCACTTGCTAGGCAAAGCTTTTGAAAGCATAAGGAACTGCCTGCTTTCTCGCATGATAACTCTGCTGAGACTATAATTATTTCTTGTTACCCACAAGAAAAGAGAAGTATCAAATGTTTTATTTTCTGTCATCTGAGTAGCAATTTAAGCATGGACAAGAGCTGATGTCAGTGTAATTTCTGTGGCATATTTTCCCCTGTGGCTTGTTAGATAAAGTGGACAACACAGTGTGCAATCAGATTGCCAGAATGCATGAACTGCTTGTTATCTACAGTAGCATTTCTGACCAATCTTTTCATAGCTCAGCCTTAGAGAAAGAATAGACAGCAAAGTTATGGCTGTCGCTGCTGAAATGTGAGTACAGTTGTAAAGGCAAGCCACAGGAGGCCAGATTCTGGGGTCAGTCTGGGTCCAAATTCCAAATTACCTATTATTCACTGTGGGATTAGGGGTAAATTCTGGAATCCTTTGTATGTCTCACTTTCCTCACTTTGTAAAATAAAGATAATAATATCAGATGAAAAGTACAGAAAAGTTTTATCATTAGCATTCCAAAAGGGAAAAAATGGTTAAGGGAGTTATATAATGTACTACCTATTCTGAAGGTTCTATTCTGGGCTCCTTCTGACACTTAGTAATACATGAAAATAATAATAACAATCGGCTGGGAAGGTGGCTCAGTGGTAGAGTGCTTGCCTTGCATGCATGAGGCCTTGGGTTAGATTCCTCAGCACCACATAAGCAAAAAGAACAAAGCCAGAAGTGGTGCTGTGGCTCAAGTGGTAGAGTGCTAGCCTTGAGCTGAAGAGCTGAGGGACAGTGCCGAGGCCCAGAGTTCAGGCCCCATGACCGGACCCCTCCCCCAAAAAAGAAAGAAAATAATAGTAATAAGCAGTAGATAAGTTAAAATCTCATTTCATTTCAACAAACATTTACTAGGACCACCTCCATAGTACATATTATCTACTTTTATCTACATATTATCGACATAGTACATATTATCTACTTTTCCATGTTGGTTTCATCAATTAAATTCAATGTAAAGTCTATCCAAAGTCATATTCTTTTTTAAATCTCTGCAATTCTGGCCAGGTGCCGGTGGCTCATGCCAATAATTCTAGCTATTCAGAAGGCTGAGATCTGAAGACTATGGTTTAAAGTGAGCCCAGGCAGAAGTCTGTGAGACTCTTATCTCCAAGTAGCTACCATAAAAGCTGAAAGTGGAGCTGTGGCTCAAGTGGTAGCTTTGAGTACAAAAGTTCAGGGACAGTACCCCAGCCCTGAGTTCAAACCCTATGACCAGAAGAAAATCGCTACCAATCCTGGCCATTGTTTGAAAAAGAAGATAGGAAGTGACATTTTGTGATATGGTAGCAGAAATAAAATCAAAGAGAAATATACTTACTGAACACTAGGCACTGAACTAGCCCATGTTCACATCTCACATCTTCACAATGACATCAGATAAAACAAGAACAAATGAATTGGCTCTTCCAAAATCACAAAGGTAAGATATAGCAGGGCCAGAACTTGAGCTGAAGTTCATTTTGAAAACACATGCGCTTCCAACATGCTAATTAACTGTATGTATGTATGTATGTATTTTGCTACCACCAGTATTGGGACTTGAACTCAGGGCCTGGGCACTGTCTCTTTGCTTTTTCTTCATCCAATACTGGTGATTTACCATTTTACCACACACCTCTGAGTCTACCTTTTTTGGTGGTTCAATGGAATTAAGAGTCTCACTGACTTTCCTGCCCGTGGTTTACTACAAACCCGGATCTTCAGATTTCATCCTCCCAGTAGCTAGGATTACAGGTATGAGCCACCATGCTACTTTTCTTTTCTTTTCTTTTTTTGCCAGTCCTGGGGATTGAATTCAGGTCCTGGGCTCTGTCCCTGAGCTTCTTGTGCCCAAGGCTAGTGCTCTACCACTTGAACCACAGCACCACTTTCAACTTTTTCTGTTTATGTGGTACTGAGGAATTGAACCTAGGGTTTCATGCATGCTAGGCAAGCATTCTACCACTAAGCCACATTCCCAGCCCATTAATCAACCTTAATAACACACAATTTAAGGCCATAAATATGCTTTCCTTTAGTTTACTATTTGGATTGACATGGCTAACCAATGCATATTTGTATTGTTAGATTTACTAGCCTACCTCATCCAGACACTTTGGTGCCCTATTTATTCTTTTTCCTGTCAACCATTAAACAGAAGGAATTAAGTATGAAATTAGAAGAGTCTTGGCAGGAACCGTGTATGACACTAAAATCTTTTATAGTTTTTTCTTTGCAAGTGATTGGGCTTTTGTTTTACAGCTCTTATCTTTGCTAGAAAAAGGCCTTCAGAAATCACTTCATATAAACTACCAATCTAAACTCTTTGGTTCACTTTAGGTACATGTTAATAAACACTACACAGAGATATAAACAGATTGTTTAGAAATCCTGACCAGTTAAAATAAAATACAATTGCACATTCTAAATTATTTAACTTAAAAAAACCTCTGTGTTGTGTCAATTTCCAATTTTGTGTGTCTAGAAGTATTTCCTCAAGATTCAGAAATAAATTTTCACCATAATGAGGACAGATAAGCCAGTTTTCTTCTTTAGAAGAAGGGCTGAGGGACTGAAGTGTGTCCTAGTGGAGAAGTAGTGACGTGAGTGAAGCAAACAGGAGTACACAATACACAGTTTATCCTGACAGAATGCACAACATCTGACAGTTGAAGGTACTTAGAACTTTGAAGTTTCTTTTTTTTTAAATTTATTATGATACTTTAGGTTTATTTTTTCCTTTCCGGTGATTCTCCATGTGAATTATCAAGTTTTTAAAAATGCAATTTCATAAAACTTATAATTTGCTAACTATCAATTTCCACATGATCAAGGTAACTGTGTTTATAGTTTATAAACAAGTACATGGAAACATCTGTACTTACTGGAAAGAACTGTTGTAAGGAAAATGTAGTCTGAAAAAGATATGAGCCCACACTCTCCAAGGGTGTAAAATATACTGTCTTCATCAGCAAACTTTTCTCGTTCCTGGGAAATTTTCTATTAAATATATAGGTCCCACCAATAGAGAAAAAAAAAGATATTACTGAATTAGAATACAAATAGTAAGAAATGAATTACCAATGATCTAATTTTATGAGATTTACCCTAAGCATTTCTCTGATGGCCACTCAAAATCAATGGATCCTTTACAATTTTTAGACCATGAAAATTCCAAACTAAAACTTTTTTCATATAAACATTAGGTTAATAGGAATTTTAGAAAGTAATTTGAATTTTATAACTTCCTGACACTGAACCGATAGACTTCTTTTAGACTTGGTCTACCTTTTTCTGAAGTTACACGGTATTAAAAAGAAAAACTAAAAAGAAAGTAGTTCTAACTGCCCCCCAAAAATTATATTGCTAGTGATCACAAATGAAGAGATAAGCAACTATTTCCAAGGTGCACAAAAATGCTCAATTTCTGGCATACTAATTCAAATTCAAATTTATGAAATACTAATTTTAATATTTATTTTATGATTCTAAGAATCCCAGTTTTGGAATATAGAACAGTATGTACAGTTAACAGCATCTCTGAGAGATAATGCCAAATCAGACATGCACACATGTAGGCACCAGGTTTAGACACAATTTGGTCATATTTACTTTTACCTTAGTGAATCTATTTGATACTCTCATCTAAAATTTGGCTTTTACTCTAAATATATATTCCACTTATTTAACTTATAAATTATGAAATGAGCTTCAGTAATAGCTAGTCTAGTAAATTGTTTCTTCTTGTTTTGTTTAACCAAATCTATCCTTATTCTGATTTCCTAACCAAAGCATAAGCTTAGAGATATGTTCAAAAACTGAAAAGGATCCACCAAAGGTGCATTTGGGATAAATTTCTCTAGATTCTGAACCAACCAAAGGCGTTTTCTGGAATTCTGAGTACCAAAATGTGAAAAAAGAATAAAAGACCTTTAAAAACTCAAACCAACAAAATGCAATCAAAGTAATAATCTCATGCAAGCACAAAATAAGAGGCAACAGCGCAGGCATAACTTGAGGAGGAGTATCATGAAAATGGAACCCACAAGCACCACCACACCAGCATTCAGGTACACAACTATCCAACAGGTTACCTCTGTCTAGTCGAGATCCCATCATATACCACAAAGGAAAGAACACTAGTTAACCAATTGAAAACACAAGTGCCACATGAATCTTCATTAAGTTAGTTTGCATGATCCTCTTAACAAACTCATTCAAAATAACTTTTATTGTATACTGGCTTGCTCGTAAGTAACCATGAACAGGTAAAGATCCACAAGTGAATACCAACAAAAATATATTATATTTTGATAGGCAGATGTGATTTAAGAAAGGGATTCTCTGAGTTTGATAGTGGTTGACTGAAAATATGGTGCTGTGTAACATTTAGAGATTATTCTTTTGATCTGAGAATAAAGAATGAGCACCCAGACCAAAAATGCTCTAATTAAGGTTAAATTTTATACCACACTTTCCTACCAAGAGATTAAGTATAAAATTTCAGACCAAAGAAGCCATTGGAAGAAAACTAGGGCAGTAAAGCCACCCACTGGAAAGTTTATATCTAAATTCCTCAAAATAAAAGAAACACTAACAGTTTTTACATTATCCAAAGTGCTGCAAAATTAAACATGAAAACAAGAAAAAAAGATGGGAAGTGAGAGTAGGTCCCCAAAGACCTACCATTCCTAGCTAAAGCAATAAATGTATATAGAAGGTGTGAGACTGCTATGCATAACTGAAATAAATAATATATTGAGAGCCAGAAGTGGAGAAAGGGAAAAAAGCCATCCGACAGAGTGTAACAAGGCAGCTGAGCAAAGGATAACTAACCTAGCATGAATTTTTCTAACAACAACTGGAAACAGAGCTGCCCAGAAGATAACAAAAAAAAAATCTAATTTAGTTGCTAATTTTAAATTCTGATATAATTACAAATAACACAGAAAAGATTAAAGAGTAATGTAAGGAATTAGCATATAGGTTTCATCCAGATTCACTAACAAACCACCTGATTTGCTTTATCATTTTGTCCAGATGCATTGTTTCTTTATAACAGTTTGAAAGTAACTTGGATATGTCATGATTTTTACACTTAAATACTTCAGCCTATGTTCCCTGTGAACAAAGACACTGTCTTCAACGCCACAGTATAACTCTACTAAAACTAGAAAATTTAATAGCCATACATTATTATCTAGTTTATTATCACAGTCAACTACTCCAATAATTTCTTTTATAGCTACCCCACCCAAGTTCAGAATGTATTTTAAAAAGTATGGTTAGTTGTCATGTCTCTAGATTCCATTAATCTGGGACAGCTTTTCCTTGCTCTTCAGTTTTTCCTTTTGACTGGTAACACTTGTTTGTTTGTTTTTGTCTGTCTTACTGGGCCTGGGCTCTGTTGAGTTTCTTGAGCACTCTACCACTTGAGTCAGATGCCACCTCTGGCTTTTTTGAGTAGTTTATTGGAGATAAAAGTCTCATTGAGTTTCCTGCCCAGGCTGGCTTTGAATCACGATCCTCAGGTCTCAGCCTCTTAAGTAGCTAGGATTACAGGTGTGAGCCATCAGTGCCTGGCTACTGGTAACATCTTGTTGCTAACATTCACATAATGATTCACCATTTTGCCTATTAAATACTTTGTGTCTGGCTTCTATTACTTAATGTTTCCTAGGTTCATGTTGTAGCATGAGTCAGTACTTAATTTCTATTTCCAAATAACATTCTGTTGTGTTTGTTCACTCATTTATATGTTGAAGGACATTCAGATGATTTCTGCTTTTTTGGCTACTGTGTATAATACTAGTAAACACATTCATGTACAAATAACTTTGAATGTGTTTTCAACTATTTTCAGAATGAAAGAGTGGAATTGCTCCATTATATGTTAGCTCCATATTTAAGTTTGGAATAAGATCCAAACTTTTTTCTATAGTGGCTTCATCATTTACATTCCTACTAGCAAAGGAAAAAGGCACCAACTCAGCCACATCCTCATAAATACCTGCTTTTTTTTCTTTTACAATATAGCTATTATGGGTATGAAGTATATCTGATTACAATTTTGATTTGCATTTCCTTCCTGCCTAAAAATATTGAACATCATGTGCTTATTGGCTATCTGAAGTGTGTATTTAAGTCTTTTGCTCAGTTTTGCATTGGCTGTCACTTTGCTGAGTTGTAACTTCTTGACATACTCTGGATACTAGACCTTTACTATCTATATGACCTTTAAATATTTTCTTTCTTTCTTTATGTTGGCTTTCCACTTTCTTGATAATGTCTCATGATTCACAAAAGCTTTTAATATTGGTACAGTAAAAGTTATCTACTTTTCTTTTATTGTTTCTGATTTTCATTTTGTATCTAATGTTCTCCAAGGTCACAGCTACCCTTATCTTCTGTAAGTTCTACAATGTTAGCTCCTAAGTTTCTGATTCATTGTGAGTTAATTTTTATATATGTGATATAGAAGGCTCAACTCCATTCTTCTGGATGTAGATACCCAAGGAATCCCACATCATTTGTTGAAGAGACAATGTTTTCACACTGATTAAGCTTGGCCCACTTGTTGAAATCTGTTTATTATAAATGTGTGGTTTATTTATGGGCTCTCAATTGTATTTTACTATTTATCTATCTATCTTTATTCCAGTACATTGTTAGTGTTTTTTTGTTTTAAGAAATAAGGATAAAATGATTAGGACATAAAATTTACCAATGTAACTATTTAAAGTATAGATATCTTAGGTTCTGTTCATTTTTCTTCATTTTTTTTCTTTGGTCGGTCATGGGGCTAGAACTCTGGGCCTGGGTGCTATCCCTGAGCTCTTCAGCTCAAGGCAAGTGCTTTACCTCCTCATTCTTTTTTGCTGTCTGCTTTGGATTGAATAATGTCAACTAAACTATTTTCATGTTCACCAATACTTTCTACTACTTACCTAAATCTGCTGGTTGAACATCTCTAGTGATTTTATACCTCAGTTATAATCTTCTTTATTGATTTTTCTGTTAGCTCATACATGATTCTCCTCGTTGTGTTTAGCTGTTTAGCTGAGAAAGGGTTGATTTAAAGTATCTGAGTGTTACATAAGATGTCTGTGCTCTTTTAAGGATACTGGGCCATGCTTTTTTATTTCTATACATGCATCATTTCTTCTTCAAAAATAGGTATTGTATATTATGATGTAGTAGATGGAAATCAGATGTGTTGCTGCTTAATATAAGCTGGGGTTGTTTTAAGTCTTTCATGAGAATGCAAAAAGCTGATCGACAGTTTGTGCCAGCATAATCATTAGTCTAGGAAAAATGTAGTTTCAAAGTTTCCTACTCTAACATTTTTGATCTGTGTTTTTTGGCCATGACAATTTGAAAATGTACATTGTATTTAGACTAGCCCTCATTTTGAGTTAGACTCATGTTTCCTAATGACTAGATCCACATATATCTATTTATATTCTACATTAAAATTTAGTATTTTTATTTTTTAAAAATTTAGTCTTATTCTTTATTCACCGTACTACTTTCTCCAGCAACAGGTTAGTTGATTCCCATTGTCTTCGAAATATTTACTTAAATGGTCAAGCTTAGACTATATAAAAAAGTGATCTCATAATCATCCCTGCAGAAAACAAACATATCTGGAGTTCAAGATCTGTTACCATTATGAGTTAAATTTACATGTAGCATGATGTCCAAGTCAATGTGCAATGCCATAAATTCTGAAATGTATATAACTTAGTGATCTACATCCATCAATCCTAATAGTTCCTTTATGACCACATTCCTTAAAAAAAACAAAATATGAACTGTTAGTTCAGAAGTGCAGGTAAATTGAGCCACCATTATGTACTTCAGCATAATTCAGTATTTAATAATCAGTAGACTAATTTTTATTGCTTAGTACTTTATGACACTGTTCAGTATAAAGTGAAAAATAAATGCACTAAGTATTGCTATATCTTACTTTGTATAAAATACTATGTATGATAATA